CAACAAGATTCCATTTATAAAGCGCCTTTCACGTCAGGAGGACGTCCCAAGGCGCTGCACAGTTGGGTCATGACCCGAGCAGGGGGGAAATGGTCAGGGTGAGGGGAGGGAAGGGAGGGAGCGAGGAGGGGGGAAATGGTCAGGGTGAGGGGAGGGAAGGGAGGAAGCGAGGAGAGGGAAGAGAGTCGAGAGGGGAGCTGAAGGCACGGTCAAAGAGAAAGGTTTTGAGATCGGCCTTGAAGGAGAGGGAGGAAGCAAGGCGAAGGCACTGGGGGATAGAGTTCCAGAGCCTGGGGGCTGAGAGGCTGAAGGCCCGACCACCGATGGTAGGGCGGTTGGGCGGGGACGTGGAGCAGACCGGAGGAACGGAGGGTACGGGCAGGTAGGTAGGGGGATAGTAGGTCAGAGAGGTAGGAGGGAGCAAGGCCGTGAATGGCCTTATAGGTGAGGATGAGGATCTTGAAATCAATCCTCTGGGGGATGGGGAGCCAGTGGAGGCGAGCGAGGGTGGGAGTGATGTGTTCCCGAAGCCTGGTGCGGGACAGTACACGAGCTGCAGAGTTCTGAATGACCTGCAGTGTGGAGGGAGGTGCCGGGAAGGCCGGCGAGGAGAGAGTTCCCATAGTCCAGCCTTGAGGTGACAAAGGCGTGGACCAGGGTTTCAGCAGCGTGAGGGGTGAGGTAATGCCGTAGTCTGGCGATGTTCCGGAGGTGATGGAAGGCGGTGCCAGTTGTGGTGCGGATGTGAGGGAGAAAGGACAGCTCAGGGTCGAACAAAACGCCGAGGTTCCTGACTGGCTTTGAGAGGTGGAGAGTGCAGCCTTGGATGCTGATGGTGTCGGCGCCTGAGGTGCGGAGGCGCTGACGTGAGCCAATCAGGAGGGCCTCGGTTTTTCGCACGTTGAGCTGAAGAAAGTTGTCTCTCGTCCAGGACTCGATGTCGGACAGGCAGCTGTCAGGACATCGGTGGTCGTGGAGTTGAGAGTAGAGGAGGAAAGGTAGAGTTGGGTGTCATCCGCATACATGTGGAAGTTAACTCCATGTCTGCGGATGATGTCACCGAGGGGGAGCGTATAGAGGGTGAAGAGGAGGGGACCGAGGACAGAGCCCTGACACCACATGAGACAGTGCGGGGGGTGGAGGAGAAGCCATTTATGGAGACAAAGTGAAGACGGTGAGAAAGGTACGACCTAAACCACTCAAGGACAGTGCCTTGAAGGTTGAGGTGGGAGGGATGCTTATGAGTTCAATAGCACATGTTCTTAATATTAACAGATAAAAATGCCTAAGAAGTGAAGATCAAGCTTTTCAAGGACAAATAAAAATGCCAGACAAAAGAGAGGATGATTAAATAAAACTGGTTGCAAGCGTAGCTGCAATGGATACAGCTAATTTAGAATAAGACCAACAATGCTCAAGGAATCCAAGTTATTTATGACTATTGTCCAAGTATCAACAACTGCCCTCCCTGATTACAGGATATTGCATTGTGAATCAGAAGATAAGCTTTAAATAAAAGATATTATGCAGCAATAAATAATTATTTACAGAGAATGCAGTTCTGTTGAATCATTCAAGAGAGCTGAATGATTATGGAAGGAATGTGATCAAGGGCTATGAACTTTGCTCAGGAAAGTGATGTAAAAAGAAATGTCAACATGAGTCATAATCAGAGTAAGTTAAAAAGGCAATTTATAGTATCTACTTTTCATAGGATTGTACCAGTACGTCTCTCACTATATTTTAGGTCTATTTAAAGAAACTTAGGTAGAAATCTGATGAGTTCAGATGAATTTAGGTTCGTGGTTTGATTTAATTCCAAGTCTCTGGTATACCTCATAATAGATACTGTTATTTTTATGGGTTGTATGTGTTTATGGTTGTATTCAATCTTCAGTCTGTTTTTGTCCAAACAAAGACTGTCAGGTCAGTGTGGAAGCCATGTATCAATATTCTCTGTCACTGATATGAAAATTGTTTTTGTACTGAATGATTAACTATTGCCAAATTATTTTCAATTAATTGCTGAGGAAATCTAAAGACACTGCACAATATCATCATAGATTTAGATTAGAATCTAGAAAACCCAAACTTTTCTACAGGAGGTAATTTGTCAATCATAATAATAATCCTTGTATTTGATATAGTGCCTTATCACGTCGATGAGATGTCTCAAAGCACTTCACAGGTTAAGTGGATTAACTGTGTATTTTATTGGAAAAATGTGGCAGCCAGTTGCGCACAGCAATATCCCTCAAACAGCCCTGGGGGGAGTGACCAATTTAATTTGGGGGATTGTTGCCCAGGAGAAACTTCATTCTCTTTTCGACTAGTGCCATGGGATCTATTACATCCACCTGAACAGACAGATGAGACCTTGAATTAACGTCTCATCCAAAGGACAGCACCTCCAATAATGCAACCCCCCCTCCCATTCCCAGCCCCAGCACTTCATTGGAGTGGCAGCTTAGACGATGTGATTCTAAGCCCCGGACTTGAACCCACAAACGTCTGACTCAGAGGTGAGAATGGTAGGCTGACAAACATGCAAGAACATCAATAGCAATGCAGAATTTACTTGTTCCTAAAACCTGAATTATTTGCAATGTATCTACAGTCAGTGCACTATGTTTCCACTTCCTGGCTATCTGAAATGCAAGGATTATTATTACATTAAATAATAGTTTCCATGCATTAAGATTTTGCCACAAAAAAGAATTATGGGACCACCATCCAGTCCCTTTTACTTAAGCACTATTTGGCTGATGTAGTTTCCAGCATTATGCATACACATTAGTTGATGTGTATTTATCCCCATTTGTCTTTTACGTTCATATACAATGAGCAGAATGGAGCTGATGAAGTGGATAAAATGGAACAATTGTTTTTCCTTTCCTGCTCATGAAACTCCTCCACAGTATAAACAATCTGGTTTTACACGTTATGGTGATGCCATATCTGATGTGTTAGGAAGAGATTAAATTCACTCAGAACCACAGTATAAAATAACATAAGCCTTGCATTTGATATAGCGCCTTATCAAGTCGTTGAGATGTCTCAGATCGCTACAGTTGATGTGTAAATAGATTTGTGATGAGGGAAGATAGATTTCAATGTTCATACGTGGATGGTAATGCATACTATAAAGGAAATGGCAAACGTATCAAAATGAAATTAACAGAGGCAGAGAAGGAAAAGGATGTGGGTGTGATTATTGACCATTCGCTGATGATGTCCAGACAATACGAAGCTGCTGTAAACAATAATGAAATATCAGATTGTATTTTGAAGGTATTGGGATTATAAATCAAAAGTTTTCCCAACCTTGTATAGCTCACAGATGATTCTGCATTTGGGAACAGTATTTGCAGTTTTGGGCTCCCTTCCAATGGCACAGATGGATTACAAACATCAGACGAAAGGTTATCGACCTGAAATATTAACTAATTTTCCTCTCTCCATAAGCTGCTACCTGACCTGCTGCGTGTTTCCCAGCGACTTCCTTTTTACTTCCGATCTCCAGCAACTGCAGTATTTTGCCTTTCGCATACTGTAAAGTGTGGTGACTGTGTATTTTGTGGGCGAAACGCGACCTTCAAAGTGGGGGCGGGGGAGCACGGTTTGCCGGTAAACAACGTCAGCAACAACGCATTACATTTGCACAGCGCCTTTCAGGAGGTCGTCCCAAAGCGCCGGACAGTCAGGGATCCGCACCCGAGCTGGCGGACGGGATCAGGAGGAGGTGGAGGGCGGCGGGGAGGGTTGGGTTGGGGGGGCGGTGGGTGGGGGTTGGAGGGTGACCGAAGGCGCGGTCCACGAGGGGGGGGGGGGTCTTGAGACGGGTCTTGAAGGCGGTGAGGGAGGGTGGGGCGAGGCGGAGGGATTGCGGGACGGGGTTCCAGAGGTTGCGGGAGGGGACGGCGGGGGGAGTGGCGGGGGAGTGGCGGGAGGGTTGGCGGAGTGGCTGGAAGCTCACCCGCCAATGGCGGGCCGGGCCGGGCCGGGCGGGGCACGCGAAGCAGGCCGGAGCCCCGCTGAGCGCTGGGCAGGTTGGGAGGGGTGAGAGGGGTTCAGGAGGTCACAGAGCTGGGACCTCTGGCTCAACCGGGAGGCGGTTGAGGGGTGGGTGGGTGGGTGGGGGAGGGGGGGGGGCGTGGGCGGGGAGGAGAGCAGCGACGGCCATAATCCTATCACGTTAGGTTGAGAGCTCCCACACACACACACACACACCCCACAGGGGCCGCCGAGTGGTGGAGTGGGGGGAGGGGGAGAGGGTGGGGGGGGAGTGAAGTAAAGTTAGGATGCGCCTCGAGGAGGAGGAGGAGGCGGTGGACAAAAACATAACTGACAGCAGCGTCTGTCCAATAAGAGGGAAGAGCGTGGATTGGCCGTGACGTATGTGGGCGGCGGAGAGGCGGGGTGGGGGAAACGAGGGTGACTGACAACGGTGCCGCCCAATAAGGAGCGGGAGCTGGCTGGTTGCCCGTGACGTAGATCGACCGTGGCGAGGGCGGGGAGTGGGATCGGCGCCGACTGACTGACAGCGGCGTCCGCCCAATGGAAAGGGAGGTGGCTGGCTGTGGGTGACGTAGATCGACCTATGAGACGCGGCGGAGCAGGAGCGGGAGGCGGGAGATGCTGCGGCGGCGGCGGCGCAAAAGAGAGGGCGAGAGGGCGCGCGTGCGCAGTAGGGACGGAGAGCGCGAGAGAAACGGCCGGCGAGTGGCGAAGAGGTTGGGCGACCGACCGACCGAGTGTAGTGTAGTGTGAGAGAGAAGGGACAGAAGGAGGAACCCGGCACCTCAATAATCAATTAATGTTACCGACCGACAGACAGATACACACACACACACAGAGAGTGAGAGAGTGGGAAAGAAAGAAATAAAAGTGAAGATGCGAAAGTAGTCAAAGGGGTGAAGAAGCTTCAACGTCCCTTTTATTTTCTCCTCCTCCTCCTCCTCGCTGTCTCCTTCTCTCCCTCCCCCTCCCTCCCTCTCCCTCTCTCTCCCTCGCGCCCACTTTCTTTTTTTTATACACACACAGATTAGATGTTTTATGTTGTGTTATCGATGTATTGAAAACAATCAAACAAACAAACAAACCAACCAACCAAACCGACCAACCCAACCCAAGAGCTTTTCAATGCGCCGGGGAGGATGGAACAAGCCGAGATCCTGAAGAGATTCATCGAGCGGGTGCAGGCGATGAAAGTGCGCGACCAGAACGGGGAGGACAACTTCGCCAACGACTTCATGGTGAGTTCAGCCGCTGCTTTACTGCGGAGCCGCGTTATTTGCTGTGGGTTAATCTTGTGTCTCGTGTGTGTGTGTGTGTGTTCTGTCTGTGTGTGTGTTTTCTGTGTGTGTGTGTGTGTTCTCTGTGTGTGTGTGTGTGTTCTGTGTGTGTGTGTGTTCTCTGTGTGTTCTGTGTGTGTGTGTGCTGTGTGTGTGTTTTCTGTATGTGTGTGTGTGTTTTCTGTATGTGTGTGTGTTCTGTCTGTGTGTGTGTGTTCTGTCTGTGTGTGTGTGTTTTGTGTATGTGTTTTGTGTATGTGTTTTGTGTATGTGTTTTGTGTATGTATGTGTGTTTTCTGTATGTGTGTGTTTTCTGTATGTGTGTGTTCTGTCTGTGTGTGTGTGTTCTGTCTGTGTGTGTGTGTTCTGTCTGTGTGTTTTGTGTATGTGTGTGTGTTTTGTGTATGTGTGTGTGTTGGGGAGAGAGACAAGAGGAGAAAGGAGAATCATCATCTTTGTATTTACTCCCCCCCCCCATTTGGATATTTTAATCATTTTCTCCAGGCTTTCTAGGGTTTTATTTTGGGGCTTTTTTTTGTTCCAATATCCAGTCCATTTGCCCTCTCATCCAAGCTCCTTCTTCCATCCACATACTTCCATCCATCCCAATGGGATCATCACTACCAGCTTCAGGCTGTGAGGCCTATGCCCCCCCCCCACCCCCACCGTCCCCCCCGCCCCTACTCCTGTCTCTCTCTGTCTCTCTGTCTCTCTTTCCTCTCTCATGGCTTCTCTGTCTGAGCATAATTTAAAAACCTGGGGTTGTCTGGGTCTTGGCTTCAACAGCCCCCTCCCTCCCTCCCTCCCTCCCATGTCCCCTCCTTCCCCCCTCCCCCCCAACCAGAAATATCAACCCTTTTGTTCGGGATATCTGTATGTATGTATGTACCCCGACAGTACAGGACGCTCTGTTGAAGTCCCTGCATTTGCAAGAGGTTTCATACCCAAGGGTTGTAACTCCCTTGTGTGCGTGTGTGTGTGTGTGTGTGTGTGATTTTTTTTCGTTGCAACAAAAATGCAATGAATTTTCTGAGCGGCGTGAGTCAGAAATTATGGGCAGTTTGAGGATGTTGCGCAAGGGAATGGATCGCTTGTGTACATTTCGAAGATGGTTAACGCGATCGTTTGATCTTGCGATGGTTCGTTGACGTGTTCGTTCATTCTCTCTCAGTCTCTCTCTCTCTCTCTCTCTCTCTCACTTTTTTTAAAAAAAATCTTATTAAAAACGTTCACCGCGCAGTCTAAAAAGCGTCAAAGAGACGTATAAAGAAAGAGAGCCTTTCAAAATCGTCCCGGCCCACCCTTTTCTGTGTGGAAGACCCAAACAACTGGAACAGGCAAAGCCAAATCAGTGCATTATTCCATCAGTATCTCTCTCTGTGTGTGTGTGTGTGTGTGTGTGTGTGTGGGGTGGGTGCAAATCTGGAAACTGCTCGTTGTTTTATTTAATAGGATTGCAACATTTTCATTTTATTTTGCCAAAAGGTCGACTTCCCCCCCACCCCCCCCCTAAAAAAAAAAGAGAGCAAACGAGACATTAAAATATTCCAAACTGAGCCCTGGCTTTCCTTGTGCCTGGGTGGGTGGTTTGCCTTCATGACACTGACCTTTTTTTACACGCAAAGATGGTGTCATTATAAAGGTGGATTGTCTTTTTTTTTCCCCACACCCCACCCCACCCTCTCTCTCTCTCTCTCTCGAGTTGCTTGGGAATGAAGAGCTACGTATTACTTAATGGAGTATTACCGTCGTCTAAGACTAGTGTTGTTTTAATCTGAATTCACAAACAAATTCCAGGAGGGGGGGACGCTTTAGCTCTCCTTAATTCATGGATCTGGAAGCCAGTTGCAGTGCATTGTTTGGCAATGTTATCTGAGATTGGCAAACCTATGGTACACTACACACCGAGCCTGGCACTTTCTTGTGCTGTGTTATTAGTGTGACTGTGTTGCATTTGTTCGCCGAACCATCAAGGAAAGATCCACAATAGTTTTGACTTGCATAATCTGTAATTGAGCAGGCTTGGTTTGAGACATGCTATCGTTTTTTTTTGATGGAACATTTTGAAACTTGTGAGTCATGATTGAATGCTTTGAGAGCTATGTAAAGTTAACTTAGTAGGAAGGGCTTTAACTTTTTATTGTAGTAATTAATCCAGGGAACAGACTTTATGTTTTTGGTCCAAACTCAACATCTAGTGCTCCTAAATTAATTGTAGAAAATAACAACCATCAGTGTGCCATTTCCATCTCTGAAACCAGCCATCTTTATTATTTTTCTGAATTGTGAAACATTTTTGTTCAATTAATTCACGCCATGCAAGAGGAATATCGAATTTCTCTGTTTCAAAGATAATACTATTTTGTACTGATGGCACATTTATAATATATAATATAGTTATTCATTTATTGGGGGTCCCAAACATGAAATAGCATTGACAAAATATATTGAGCAGCAAGCCTGTCAGGATATAGTTTGATCTAACCATTGATTGAATATTTTGTAGGCTAAATGATCGTAGAAGGGGATTAGTAGATTTTTAAATACATAGAGGCGGGGAGAGATGAGAATTATCAGTTAGTGCCTAAATACTATATTGAGCACAAGTATGAAAGACTGTACAGTAATTTTGAAGTGCAGATGGTGTCAAAGAAAACTAAAGTAAAAAGAACATGTATTTCAAAACTGATATTACTATAAACAAGAGTACAAATAAACAGTGTTTTAACTATTCACTGAGGTCAGTCATTCAGAATCCTGATCAAACCAGCAATGTTGTATTGTGTCCTTTACCTATTAGCACATTTTTATTTTTAGCAAGTTTAATAATTACTTTGCTATTTGTCTGCTTGACGATATGTTATACAAGTCAAACTTGACAGATGTTTTTCTGCCGAGTGGTTATGGAAAGAACATCATTTTTGCCCCCAAGAGATTCTCTGCTCCATTTCCAATTAGATATCCAAAGGTCAGTGTGCAGATTTACATGTCGTCAGTACAGAAGCTGATGCTGTACACCATTTCACCAAACCTTAGCTACTGAAGTTCATTGATGCTTTTGGGCTTCATGAGTAAGTCTATTTGGATTCAAATGCACCAACTACACCGTATGCCCTTTATTTAAAGAAAACGTTTAAAGAAAAGAGAAATGTACACATCTCAGAAGTTTACATTTTGATCTGAGCAAAGCTTGACAGATAAATATGAAATGTATCTGCATTCAGAGCTGCAAATTTGCATTGAGAGGGAAAAATTGTTTTAATTGTGTTCCATTGGCAATTCTAAAATCTTGTGCAATACAGCTATGATTTTGTTTTTGGTACTCAAAATATTGTACTAAATGTTTTGTCTTGTTATGGTGCTATGGGTTTGAAACAAAGGACCAGATTTGATGTATTTTGACTATAAGCCCTTCAGACAACTTTTCCAGGCATAGATGGCTATTTTGAGCATTTCTTAATAACAAATATACGCCATTATCTATTTTAATTTTTCCAGATTTTATTTACGTTCTGGGGATAAGTGTGGCTTCCAGTTAATATTTGCTTTATTACCCTTGATGCTATTTTGAATGCATCCATGAGTGGCCTTGTAACCTCAAATTGAATTCAGTGGGGGAACAAATGCTCGAATTTTTGAACGTCTTTCTTGCCGACGCCTTGTACTTCATATATCTTTTGCTTCTGTTCCCTTCCCCCACATGTGTGCGATCTCTCCATGTCACTGGCCCTCCTGCGTCTGTGTCTGCTCCTTTCTTCTGTTGCATTGGCATTGTTAAAAGAATGCTGTTGTGAGGCACGGTTATCCCACTTGCCTTCACGCTCTGAATGGGTTTGTTTTTGCATTAAGAAATAGACTCACTTAAGTGCATAGAATCCCAGTGACATTTTTTCATTTTTCTCTTGCTCTGAGGAAGTAGTAGGTGTTTAGAGATGTCACAGCAAATTTAATTCAGGTTGAAATAGAATCTCTTTTCCTAGGATTTATATTTTCAACTGTTAGTTCAATTTTTATATGGCTGCTTACTATAAATAAGAGATTGTATCAACTGCAAGGAGTATTATTATTATATTAATGTACTGGTTTGCCTTCTCTGTTAGTTATGTTCTTATGGTTGTCGAGATGTATTGTGGTATTCAAATAGAGATATTCAAACTATAGAGACAGGAATTATTTATATTTAATCATGTACTGCAAATAAAGGATCAAATGGGTAATGACAGCACATCTTTGGCTTTAATACAATGGGACTAAAGTCTAATATTGTATTTTTTGTTTTGCTTTTACATTATGACTTGTACTAAATTTTGTTTCTAAAATTACCCCAGTCAACTCAGAGTACAGCAAAATATTGATGCCTATTTATGACCTGGGACACTAAATCAGATATTTTAATATTATCACTTGCTGCCATTTTGATTTAAAACATTCTGAAGCATTTGTCCTTTGGCAACATAGCCTTGAAGCTTAAATGGGCTGCTTTGCTACATCACCAGTTTATTATGGTGCAGACCCTGAATTGTTCTAAAGTGTACTCTGGTTGTATTTCAGATTGGAGACTTGAATAGCCCTAAATTTGGCCAAAATGTTCTCCCTAGTGGGCAGTATAACCTTTTCTAAACTCGCTGAGACTGGAACTATCAACAACTATCTTCTAATTTGAACCTAGCTAGTGGTGGAGTAACTGGAAGCTGGTTTGAATTCAGCATTGCATGCCTCTGAATACATGGTGAATGTCCTGATAATTTATGATGTATTCTGGTGCAAATATGTGCGGGTGGCCTAAATATTTTAATAATTAGCTACTGGTCTGAATCATGAAATCTGCTTCTTGTGCAAGCTGGAGCCACCTTTTGTGACTGTGTCACAGAAACCAGCGTAAGGTAATCTGTTAAGTGATACGATCATTCTGTCCACTGTTTCCTGAGGCTGTATAGAACTCAACTAAGAATATATCTTGT